GTTATAGTCATATGTTGGTGTTTGATGGGGACATGTGGGGCAGTTTTCTGACTCATAAATTCATAGGTTTCAGTGTGTGGAGTGTCTCCTATTCTTTAGGGACTATGGAGTTAAAAATATACTTCTTAACTTATTAGGCTAGACGGAGTTTTAATTTGAGAAGTTTGAGCCAGATCTCCAAGGATTTGTCTAATACTTTACATTCTCTGCATCTGCCTGCTTTAAGGATAAGAATTATGGGTACTTTAACTGGCTTCCAAATCTACATTCTTAATTTTCTATAATTTATCTATACTCTTCACCAATGATTCTTCAATACCAAGATTTTTAACAGGTAAAACTTTGAGACAAAATGAGAAAACTAAAGTCAAAGTGTTCAATTTTTCATTAAGATAAATTTATTCAATTCAAATTGTTAGCTTTTGTTCCAAGATTATATTATTTGTACATCTTTGGTATTAAAATATCTTTCACATAACGTAGATAATTTTTCATGGGCCTAATTTTTCAGTGGTCTTCTTGATAAAAATTTTAAAACTGATCCCCCACTTCATTTTTTATGGAAATCCAAGTTGAAAACTAGCCCCCCAGAGATCTTTCTGAAACTCTTACTAATCGTGTCATTCTCTTGCCTAAACCCTTCAGGGTGAATGAACCACTGTAGCCAAAGGCAGTATCATCCCACTGGGATTTTAAATACATATGTGCTTTAAGTATTTTCTATAGACTAAATAAAATAATATATCTTTTCCTTACATTTCTTATTTCTTATTTAAACTTTTTATTTATTTATTTTGAGAGAGAAATAGAGTGCAAGTGGGGGAGAGGCAGAGAGAATCTCAAAGCAGGCCCCGCACTGTCAGCGCAGAGCTCAATGTGTGGGGCTCTAATCCACCAATTGTGAGATCATGACCCCAGCTGAAAGCAAGAGTCAGGTGCTTAAATCAACTGAGCCAGCCAGGTGCCCCATCCCATAAATTTTTTAAATGTATGAAGATGCTCTATGATGATGATCAATTTATTTTGACTCTCCAGTAGCCTTTTGTCACTGTGTAGGTTTTTCAATCATTTAATTCCTGTCAAGAAGTCATTAAAATATTTTTACTTTAAAGAGCCTAATCAGTAAAGATCAAATCATAGGGGAAAAAAAGGACTTGATTATATAAAAACTAAAATTTTGATAAAATCAGAAATTATATAAATCACATAGAAAGACAGATATATAGGGGTGCCTGGGTGGCTTAGTCGGTTAAGCGACCGACTTTCGCTTAGGTCATGATCTCGCTGTTCGTGGGTTCGAGCCCCGCGTCGGGCTCTGTGCTGATTGCCAGCTCAGAGCCTGGAGCCTGTTTCAGTCTGTGACTCCCTCTCTCTCTGACCCTCCCCTGCTCACGCTGTCTCTCTCTCTCTGTCTCCTAGAAATAAATAAAAAACATTTAAAAAAAAATAGATATATATGTGATGAGGCACCTGGCTGGCTCAGTCGATAGTCTGTACAACTCTTGATCTCAGGATCATATTGGGCATAGAGCCTACCTAGAAAGTAAAATGCTGTAAAATTCAAAGAAGTATATGTGCAAAATGTATTCAACATACTGTCTTTGAAAAACTGAGATATATTATCTTTACTATAGAGAACTAAAAAATAATACAGCAATAGGAAAATCAGCAAAGAACATGGATAGCAATTCATAAGAGAAATATAATCTTCCAGTTAGTGTGCAAAATGTTCAACTTTACTAAAAATAAAAGTTTCAACTTAAGATTTTTTTTCCCTGGCACTTAAGAGAATTAAAAATTAGAGAAATGGATACCCCTAACTGCTGGTGGAACTATATATTGCTATGTACTTTTGAGGATAGTTTGGTTGTATGTATCAAAAAAAGCCTTATAATTTTTAAAATCCCTTTTTATTTAGCAATAACACTTCTGGGAATGTACTTAGAAAAATAACTAAGGATGTGATTAATATAAGCGTTGGGGTGCTCATCATAGCGTTTTTTAATAGTAAAAACATTGGAAGCAATGTAAATATCCAACAATTGCTTGTTTTAAAAAAATATTCTTAAAGTTTATTTATTTTTTTTTGAGAGAGTGTGAGTGGGGGAAGGTCAGAGAGAGAAACAGGATTGGAAAGAGGCTCCAGGGTCTGAGCTGTGGGCATAGAGCCTAATGGGGGGGGGGGGGGAAGGACTTGAACTCATGAACTGTGAGGTCATGACCTGAGCCAAAGTCTGACACTTAACCGTGACTCAGCCACCCACGTACCCCTGTTGGTTTTTAAAAAAGAAAATGGGGGGGGGGGGGCGCCTGGGTGGCTTAGTCGGTTAAGCGTCCGACTTTCGCTTAGGTCATGATCTCGCGGTTTGTGGGTTCGAGCCCCGCGTCGGGCTCTGTGCTGACTGCCAGCTCAGAGCCTGGAGCCTGTTTCAGAGTCTGTGACTCCCTCTCTCTCTGACCCTCCCCTGCTCACGCTGTCTCTCTCTCTCTCCTAGAAATAAATAAAAATATTAAAAAAAAAAAAGAAAACGGGGGCCTGGTGGATCTGTCAGTTCAGCTTAGGTCATGATCTCACAGTTAGTGAGATCTAGCCCTGCATTGGTTTCTGCAATAGCAGTGCAGAGCCTGCTTGGGATTCTCTCTCTCCCTTTCTTCCTGTCTCTCCCCCTCTGCTGCTCACCCTCTCACTCTTTCAAAATAAATAAAGATTCTCTCTCTCCCTTTCTTCCTGTCTCTCCCCCTCTGCTGCTCACCCTCTCACTCTTTCAAAATAAATAAATAAATAAATAAACAAACAAACAAACATTTAAAAATAAATAAAACTAAGGATAATGTGTCATTTGTAAATAAATAAATGGTTCATTCACACAGTGAATCTGTTCAGCCATTAAGAATGATTTTGTTGGGGTGCCTGGGTGGCTCAGTTGGTTGAGCATCCAACTCTTGATTTTGGCTTAAATCGTGATTTCATGGTTGTGGAATTGAGCCCTATGTTGGCCTCTGTGCTGACAGCGCAGAGCCTGCTTAGAATTTTCTCTCTCCCTCTTTCTGTCCCTCCCCTGCTTGTACGTCCTCCCTCCCTCCCTCTGTCTCTCTCTCAAAATACATAAACGTTAAAAAAAGATTTTGTTAATCTTTAATAACATGGCAAAATAATTATGACATGATATTAGGCTTGTAATGTAAGAATTAGGCTACATATCAATAACCGTGGTTATCTTTATGCTGGATGTTTTTCCCTTTAAAAAATATGTTTAATGGGCATGTATTTATACTTTAAAAATATTGGGAATCATTATAGAATAAATCCATGATATATTCTCTATTTATCTCTACTTTCCCACACACAGCACTCCTAACTAACTGTTGCCTCTCAGAGTATACCATCTGCCTACATGCCTCTTTACCTTTGCTTACCCCTTTGGCCACTTAGGGAATGCCTGCTCATCTTTTTTTTTTTTTTTTTTTAATCTTTATTTGAGAGAGAGAACAGGAACAAGAGAGAGGGAGAGGGGGAACCCGGTTCTTGATACAGGACTTGATCTCAGGAACCATAAGATCATGATCTGAGCCAAAATCAAGAGTCAGCCACTTAACTGACTGAGCCACCCATGTGCCCCTGCCTGCTCATCTTTTAAAGTCGGTTCAAATGACACCACCAGGAGGTCTTTGCTGACTACCCTTTTCTTTGCTTATTCCACACAATTATTTTGTGTAATTATGTATTTATAATTCCTCCCCCTAGGCAGTGAACTCCTATCTCATTAACTAATAATAAATATTTGTGAGTGCTTGTTTTGTGCCTGGCACTGTGTGTGTTGGGTACTGCAGATCTAACAATGAACTGCAGACAGTTCCTCCTGCCTTCAATGAATTTATATGAAGTTATTCCTTACACTGTAACATTAAGTGCTATGATAGAATTTTAGAGTACTTTGGGAGAGGAGAAGATTGGTAAATCTACTCCAGGCTGGATAGTGAGATAAGGCTTCCTGGAGGAATTAGCTGAATAATAAAAAGAAAACAAGCGTTAGCCAGGTCAAGGGGTAGAAGGAAGGTGGTTTCAAATAGTAGACACAGTTTATACAAAATTCTGGAATTTTAAAACCGTGTTAAATTTTAGGAAGGTCATTATATTATGGATCCTGGGGTTGATTTCTGATAAGAAATAATTACATATAATTTTATCTTGGAAGAAGCTCCAGAACTCATTTCTTCTTTCTGCAAGAGATTAGGAAGTTTTATATAACAGCAAACCTAGAGCATCCTTAATGTTGAATTAGGCAGAAATTCAAGAGTGGAAAAAAAAAAGAAATTCAAGGGTAATTGGTAGGTTTGTTATTTTTTAAGTATTTATATAAAATATATTCTAAGGATTGAGAAATCAGTGTAAAATTAAAAGTCTGAATAATAGAGTATTTTAATAATCTACCTTGTAATCTTAACTAGTCCTAATAAAGTGTTGCTAAGTATGATTATTTGGAGGATGCCTTTGAATTAATAGATTAAAAATACGGCATTTTTAACTGCAGTTCTTATATGTATATGTGTTCTAAACAGGAAGACATTACTTGTAGCAGAGTAAATATTTGTTACAATTATGAACCTTTTATAGCTTAACATATCTCCTTCTGCAATCAAGTCTTTAAAATCTCTGTCTCCTATTGTTTCTCACCATTTGTGTTTCCTATTATACAGATTCTAAAGTTCTTGCTCTCTAGCACTGTTCTCCAAACACCCACCCCTATTTCCATTTCCAAATAAAAATCAGTAATACAAAGCAGGTGGATAAAATTGCATTGTGGTCCTCATTAAATAATAGTATCCTTCCCTGTGATTATGTGAATTATACTTACAATTTATTCTATATCAGAATCACTGGGTTTATCCAGTAAGTTTGTAGTCCTTTTTTGTTTTCTTGATTAGGTAATAATAGACTATTTCTCAAATTTTCTTTAACAAGAGATTAAATAAACCAGTTTTTCTTTTCTGCTTTGTAGATTTCTTGATAACCGGCTGTTTGCTACCTGCTCTGATGACACTACAATAGCACTGTGGGATCTGAGAAAATTGAACACCAAAGTATGCACTTTACATGGTCACACTAGCTGGGTGAAGAACATCGAATATGATACTAATACAAGACTCTTAGTAACATCAGGATTTGATGGAAATGTCATTATTTGGGACACAAACAGGTTTGTGAATAGGAGACCATGTTAGGATTGTGAACAAAAAAGTATTTGTTTATGATGGTAACTAAATTCAGTGATTTGTCCTAGCTTTTCTATCTCTTTAGGATGAAGAACTTGCCTTTGGGGAAAACAATCAAAAAATGATTCCATCTTTTGTTACTTGCATTTAGTCATATGTTGTAACTATAAAATTTGGAGGAAACTAATGGAAAGGAGACCAAAGTAGTATAGTTAATGATGAAAACTAGTTTGCAAGTTGAGTTTCCTACTAAAGGAACTTCAAGGAAAAATATTTTTATTATTTCCTCTATGGAACAGAAATGTTTTTCATTTTTTGGTCCTTTGATTCTAAACCTACTTATTTTGTAATTTGTGTACCTTTTTTTCATGCATTAAAGATTAGTTTCTCATTTGGACTAGTACTGATCCATAGGGGGATGTTTGGAAGTAAATGTGTGGTGAAGTGTTAGCTGTCACTATGGGAGAAGAGAGGATTTCTACTGGCATTTAATCAGTAGGGATCAGAGTATCTAAACGTCCTGCATGGGACAGTCTACACAGTGAAATATTCAGTGAAATATCTCCTTATAGTGAAATGGATCATTTAAAGAGTTGAAATTTGAGAAATAATTAAAATATTAAATAAAATTTAAAATAAAATTATTTTAAAATAATTAAAATATACCTGTTGCTAGCTGTGGTGAAATGACAATATAGTAATATACCAGGACCATTTCTGAAAAATTCTTTTCAGAGGTCATCTGTAAAAAGGGGATATTTTTAAAGATTTGTAACTATGCATACTGTTTGAGCAAAGGATATACAGATTATCTTTGAGACACACATACCTGTTAAAATTTATTTTTTTAATTTAGAAATAAAACTTGAATAGAAATATGAATGGAACTTCTAAATTAGTGGACAAAAGCTATTAAAATCCAAAAGAGGCAGAGAATGGGAAAAATCATTTAAGAAAGGTAAATCAGGAAGCACAAAAATATATTAGGCAGATAATCCAAATACCAATAATTGCAATAAATACATATGGACTAAAGTAGCCAGTTAAAAGACAGATAGGGTTAGACTGGATTAAAAAAGAAAGCCAAACTATATGTTCTTTGTAAGAGATGCACCTAAAACATACAAATGGAAAAATCTGAAAGTAAAAGGATGGGGAAAAAATAACAGGCAAATTCTAATCCAAGAAAAACAGTTATAGCTCCATTGATTGCAGACAAAAAGAGAGCTTAAGGCATAAAGCAGAATTAGCGATAAAAGGTACTATATTAAAAGGTTTATTTCACTAGAACATAAAATTCTTATATGTATCTAATAACGTAGCCTCAAACCATAAAAACCAAAAATGGACAGATTATTAAAAAAATGCTTTCCAAAAAAAATATTTTCCATATCAGTGGAAAATATTATTCTCTCATTTACTAATAGATAAAATAGACCAAAAAATTAGTAAGCCTATAGGAAATATTACTGTTAATAAACTTGATTAGGCATATTTAGAATTCCCCCATCACAGAGTGAATACATCCTCTGAAGCAAACTTGAATATATACAAAAGGAGAGCATGTACTAAACTACAAAGTAAGTTTCAACCAATACCAAAGACTTGTTATCACACAAATCATTTCCCCTGACCTCAGAGTTTAATTAACATAGATAAGTATAAACTCCCATATTTGGAGATTTATAAACTCACTTCCTAAATAACTCATGGATTGAAGAAGAATTCATAGTGAAATCAATAGACTAAAAATTAGTGAACTAAGCATTTTATCAAAAAAAAACTGGGAAAAGATTAAAAAGAGTAAACCCAGTTAAAGTAGATTATGGAAATGATAAAAGCAGAAATTAATGAAATTGAAAACGAACATGAAGTTTTTAAAAACCTGCCTTTTGAAAACGCCAATTGAAAATGCAATTATCTGATAAGAGTCATCAAGAGAAATCAGACCAAAGATAATCTTAACCCTAAAAACGGAGACAATAAAAAGTATACAATAAGATAATAAGATCGCTTTTATGCCAATATACTTGAAAACTGTTGAAATAGACAGTTTACTCAAAATCTTTAGCAAAACTGACCAAGAAAAATCAAGACCTATAACCTGGACTGATATTTAACCAATATGTACTGATTTAGCTGAAGTAGTTGTTAAAATATTAAACTTCTTCTGTATTAAATGATAAATAGCCACTATCCTGAATTATCCCCAGGTGGTCAAATCCTGTCACTTTCAAATCTGTCAAATCTGGTTACCCAGGCCCTTTTAGGGACACTTCCCTCAAGATCCTCCTATGATCTAGTAGCTAAAGTCCCCCTTAAAATACCTCTCCCTCTTTGGGGTAGGGTTTTTTTAGCATCTTATTTAATTCTGAGAACAGCCTCATGAATTAGATAGCTATTATTATCCCATTTTAAAGCTAAGGAAGCCACAAGGTCAGAGAATTTGGGTAACTTGCCCACATGACTGTCAATAAGACAGTGAAATATGAGCCAAGAGTCAAACCCTGGTTTATAGACTGCTGTGAGGTACCTTTTGCTAATGGGAATTTTAAGATATTATAGTAGAGTAATTCCAGGACCCAGTTTCAACACTGCCAACCACATCAATTCTGACTGGCTAGTTTTTATGCATTGTTGGTTATTTAAATATTCTGAACATTGCCTCTGCCACAGCCATTAAAGAAAGTATCAATTAAAATTTACTAATAAAACAGCAGGCCTGTCAGTTTTATATGTGACTTTTACCAGATAATATAAGAAACAGAACATCCCAACTTTATTCAGTTGTTCAGATTCCAGAGAAAGGAGGAATTCTCCTTACCTCATGTATGAAGCTAGAATGAACTTAATACCTAAACCCAACAAAGGTAATATTAGAAGAAAAAAATGGAAAGGTCAGTCTGCGATGTGAATGTAGATGCAAATATTCTAAACAAAAGGAATCAAAATACTATGATCAAAATATCATGATCAAGTTGGGTTTATTCAAGGCATGAAAAGATGATATGTACAGGGCGCCTGCCTGGCTTAGTCAGTAGAGCATGTGACTCTTGATCTTGGGGTCATGAGTTTGAGCCCTGCGTTGGGTGTAGAGATTACTTAAAATCTTTAAAAAAAAAAATCTATCAATAGAAATTATATTAAAACTCTATTAATATAGTTTATCACATTGATAGGTTAAACAGAAAGTCCATATGATTGTTTTAATCAAGGAATCAAATTCAGCATTCATTCATAATGAAAAACAAGAGAGGACATTATTACCAGTCTTTAAAAAATAATTTTTTTAACATTTATTTTTGAGAGAGAGAGAGAGAGAGCAACAGCAAGTGAGCAGGGGAGGGGCAGAGAGAAGAGACACAGAATTTGAAGCAGGCTCCAGGCTCCGAGCTGTCAGCACAGAGCCTAACGTGGGGCTTGAACGCACAAGCCACGAGATCATGACCTGAGCCAAAGTTGGATGCTTAATCAACTGAGCCACCCAGGAGCCCCCATTATTACCAGCACTATAGAGACTGAAAAGATTATAAAGTGATACAATGAACAACTTTATGGCAACAAATTAGATAACTTAGATAAACAAATAGCTAGAGAGTCCCAAATTATTTAAACTGACTCAAGAACAAATAGAAATCTATAGACCTACGGACCTAAAGCAAGTTAAAAATCGAAATGGTAATTTAAACATCTTCCCACAATGAAAAGCCCAGTCCCAAAACTGGTGAGTTTTACTAAACATTTAGAGAATAAATAATACCAGTTTTTCACAAACTTTCAGAAAATAGAGAACACTTCCCAACTCATTTTATGAGGCTGGTATTATTACTCTGATACCAAACCACACAAGCATCATAAGAGTAAAAACTACAGACCAATATCCCTCAAAAACAAAAAGAAAAAAACCAGAATAATCCTCAATATTAGCAAATCAAACATAGCATGCGTTAAGGATTATATGTCATGACTGAGTAGAATTTATCCCAGGAACACAGGGTTGGTTTAATATCCAAAAATCAACTAATGTAATATATTAATAAAGGTCAAAACCCATGCATAAAATCACCTCAAGAAAGGCAGAAAAGCACTTGACAAAATCCAATACCCATTTGTGATAAAACTGGTAATAATAATAGGGCGCTTTTATTCCTTAGACATCTGATATAGGACATCTATGAGAAATCTGTGGCTAAAATCATGATGTTGAAAGACATTCCCCCAAAGTTTGGGAACAAGGCAAGTATGTCTGCTCCCACCACTTTTGTTTAACATTGTACTAGAGGTAAAATTGCACTGGAAATGCAGTCAGGCAAGAAAAAGAAATAACAGGCATCCAGATTTGAAAGGAAGAAGTAAAACTCTTCATATGTAAATGTGATCTTGTATATAGAAAATCTTTCTTTGTGTTTTTGTTTTTTGTTTTTTGTTTCTTGTAGGTCACAAGATTTACAAGACTAATGTAACAAATCAAGTGTATTTTTACATATAAGCAATAAAAAATCCAAAAATGAATGAAGAAAATTCCATTCATTAATAGTATCTAAAGAAACAAAATACTTAGAAGTAGATTTAACAAAAGATGTATAAGATTTGTACATTGTAACTGTAAAAAACTTTGCTGAAAGAAATGTAAGAAGATGTAAATGAATGGAAAGATATTCCATCTTCATGGATTGGAAGACTTGGCATCATTAAGATGGCAATTCCCGGCGTACCTGGCTGGCTCAGTCAGTAGGACATGAATTCTTAATCTTGAGGTCAAGGGTTCAAGCCCCATTTTGGGTGCAGGGCTTACCTAAAGAATAAATAAAATAGGGGCCCCTGGGTGGCTCAGTCGGTTAAGCGTCTGACTTCGGCTCAGGTCATGATCTCATAGTTTGTGGGCTCAAGCCCCGCATTGGGCTCTGTGCTGACAGCTAGCTCAGGGCCTGGAGCCTGTCTTCGGATTCTGACTCCCTCTCTCTGACCCTCCCCTGCTCACACTCTCTCTCTGTCTCTCTCTCAAAAATAAATAAAACATTTAAATAAATAAGATTACAGAGGACAATTAAAAAAAGAAATACAAATTTTTTAAAAGATGGAAATTCTCCAGATTAATTTATAGATTCAGTGCAACCCCTATCAAGATTCCATCTGCCTTTTTTGGACAGATAGTCAAACTGATCCTAAAATTTATATGGAAATACAAATGACCCAGAGTAGCCAAAACAACCTTGAAAAGAAGAATAAAATTGGAAGACTCATACATTTCTCAATTTCAGAACTTACTACAAAGCCATAGTAATCAAGACTGTGTTTAACTGGCATGGGACAGGCATAAATCAAAGGACAGAATTGAGAGTCCAGAAATAAACCCTTGCATTTTTGATGAGCTTATATTCAACAAAGTTATCAAGGTAATTCAATGGTTCAGGAAAAGATAGACTTTTTCAAAAAATGATGTCTGCACAACTGGATATCCATATGCAGAAAGATGAATTTAGACCCTTATATTTAAAAAAAAAAAGAATTCAAAATGGATTTCAGTCTGAATGTAAGAGCTACAATCATGTAACTCAGAAAACATGGGAGCAAGTCTCTTGCAAACCAGAGTACAAGTGATTTTGAAAATTGGTAACATGGACTTCATTAAAATTAAAAACTTTCATGTATCAAATGACACCATTAAGAAAGTGAAAAGAAAGACTACTGGATGGGAGAGAATATATATATCTGATAAAGGATGTGTGCCCAGAATATATAAAGAACTCTTGCAACTTCTATGTACACAGTAACCCAATTTAAAAATGGGCAAAATAGCTACATAGGCCTTTCACCAAGGAAGATATACAAATGATTAATAGGTATGTGAAAAGATGTTCAACATCATTAGTCATAAGGAAAATGCCAGTCAAAACCAAAATGAGGAATCATTTCACATCCACTAAGATGGCTTTAATGGAAAAAGACCATAACAAGTATTGGCAAGAATGTGGAGAAACTGGATCCTCCTAGATTGGTAGTAGGGATGTAAAATGGTTCGACCACTTCAGAAAACAGTTTGGTAGTTTCTTAAAATGTTAAGCATAGAGTTATCATCTGACCAGCCATTCCATTCCTGGGTATGTACCCAAGGGAAACAAACACATATCACCATACAAAGATTTCTACATGAATGCTTGTAACAGTATTATTCATAATATCCCCCAAATGGAACAAATACAAATAGCTATCAGCTAGTAAGTAAATAAACAAAATGTAGTATATCTATACAGTAGAAAACAATTTGGTAATGAAAAGAAACAGAGTACTAATGTGCTACATGGATGGACCTCAAAAAAAAGTAAAAAAAGCTAAACAATAAGACAACTTATTGTATGCTTCTGTAACTATTAAATGTCCACAAGAAGCAGATCTGCGGAGGCAGAAGTAGGCTAGTGGTTGCCTGCAACTGGGAGTAGGAACTGGAAATGATTGCTAATGGACAGAGTGGGGTTTTTAGAATGAAGAAAATGTTCTAAAATTGGATTGTTTTGATGATTGCACAAATGCACTAAATATCATGAACTGTAAATTTAAAATGAGTGAATTTTATGATATGTAAATTACATCTTAATAAAGCTGTTAAAAAACTTAACTAGAAATAGTAGGAAACTCTTCAAAAGTATATACTAAACCTACATGACATTTTTCAGTGGTAGAACTTGTATAAGTTTTCTCTATAGGGGGATTAGGCTGGCTCAGTTGGTAGAGCATGCGACTCTTGATCTCAGGGTCGAGAGTTCAAGCCTCATGTGAATGTAGAGCTTACTTTAAAAAAAAAAAAAAACAATTTATAAAATCAGGAAGGGGGAACATGTCTGCTGTTACTACTATTGTTTACCATTGTTTTGGGGTGGGGAGAAGGCAGGATCCTACTTGGTGCAGTATAATAAATATATAAGGTTTGGAAAGGAACAACTGAAAAAATAGCATTCACAGATGATATTTGTCTGTATGAAGGGTTGGTAAGCTTTCTGTAAAGGATTGTGAAATAAATATTTTAGGTTTTGTATGCTATATGATTTCTGAGCAGCCATAGACTACATAAATGGATATTGCTGTGTTCCATCAAACTTTCTATATAAAAACAAGCAAGAGTTCAGACTTGGCCCATAGACCAGTTTTCTGACCCCTGGTCTATATAGAAAACCTTAAAAATTCTGACAAATTATCAGAATTAATAAGAGTTAAACAAGATTGCAAGACATAAGCTCAAAATGTAAAAATCAGTAGTGTTCCTAATCATCACAACAAATATTTTTAAAAATTTAAGTATATAGTTTTTAGTAATTAAGAAAAATTTTTTAAATGTTTAGTTTTGAGAGAAAGAGCCAAATACTCAAAAAGGGGAGGGGCAGACAGACAGGATCCAAAGCGGGCCCTGCTTTGACAGCAGAGAGCCCAAGGTGGGCTTGAACTCGTGAACTGTGAGATCATGACTTGAGTTGAAGTCAGACACCTAATTGACTGAGCCACCCAGGTGCTCCAGAAATTAAAAAGAATTTGAAAAACCAGGATGGTCAAGTTGCAGATTAGACACAACTTTAGAAACAGATTGGAAGATAGATACTAAAAAACTATACAGAATGCAACAGAAAGGAGATAAAATACATGAAAGAGCAGTTATGAAACAGAATCAAATGTGAATGTCTCGAACATCTATTTGGAGCTCCAAAAGAATAGAGAAAATAAGTGAGAGAGGTAATACTGGAATAATAATGGATAATTTCCCAGAATATATGAATATTAATCTTACAATTTAGAAAATCAAATTAATCCTAATAAAGTGGAAAGAAATCCAAATTTAAATAGAGTGAAGCTCCAGTACTCCAAAGACAAAGAGAAGGTTAGCCCAAAGGGGGATGGGGTGGGGGGGAATTATCCAAATAAACAATTGGACTAGTAGCAGACTTAACAATGGGGTTAGGGTTAGGAAGCCAGAATTCAGTGGAATATTATCCCCAATAGTCAGAACTATTAGCCTGAAGTTATGTACTCAGCTAAATCTTTAATCATAAAAGAAGAGTAGGGGAGCATGGGTGGTTCAGTTTGATTGAGTGGCCAACTCCTGATTTTGGCTCAAGTCATGATCCCAGGGTTGTGGGATCAAGCTCTGTGTCAGACTGCGTACTGAGTGAGGAACCTGCTTGAGATGCTCTCTCCCTCTTCCTCTCTCTTCCACTCCCTCCCCCCAAAAGAGGAAAATAAAGATTTTCAGAACAACATAAAGTGAGAGTTTACCTCACCAAAGTCCTACTTAAAAATACATACTGCAGGGGTTGCCTTAGGTGGCTCAGTTAAGTATCCAACTCTTGATTTCAGCTCAGGTCATGGTCTCATAGTTCGTGAATTTGAGGGGGAGCCTGGTTGGTTCATTTGGTTAAGTGTCCAACTCTTGGTTTCAGCTCAGGTCATACTCTCATAGTCATGAGCTCAACCCCCACATCAGGCTCCATGCTGGATGTGGAACCTGCTTAAGATTCTCTCTCTCCCTCCCACCTCCCCTTCTCGGCTTGCTCACTCACTCTCAAAAAAATTAAATATATATATACACACACACACACACACACACACTTCAGAAAGAAAGAATAAAATGGAAAGTTGGAGATAAGGAATGGTGAGCAAAACAACCAAAATTTTAATTGTTTATGTCTATAAAGCTAAGTACAAATTGTAAATTCTAGTTTGACGGTCAAAATTATAGCTATTAACCAAATCCTTCTATGTATGATAATTCTAGGTTTTGTTGGTTTGATTTCTTTTGTAGGTGTACAGAAGATGGGTGTCCACATAAGAAATTCTTTCATACACGTTTTCTCATGAGAATGAGATTAACACCAGATTGTTCCAAAATGTTGATCTCCACGTCCTCTGGATATCTCTTGATTTTGCATGATCTTGACTTAACCAAGTCTTTAGAAGTAGGCAGCTATCCTATTTTGAGAGCAAGAAGAACTACATCAAGTTCAGGTAAGCTTTTCCTTTTTTTGATCAAAGAAAATTTTCCAAAGAATCTCACACAAAGGGATGGCATATGTTTCCATTCTGAGAATGATAGCAGAAAGGGAAGAAAATTAGAAGACATTCTTTGGAAAGCACAGTGAGAGCTTTTTTCCCAAGGAAGTATGACCTATATAAATCTCTGACATAGCATAAATTAATGCTTCTGTATCACAAATGATCCAGGGCAAAGAACTGCTAACTCTAAAAATAATTTCTTTAGCTCTTTATGCTATCCAGAAATCTCTCATCAGTATTTCTAAATCATCACTATCTCAAAAATTAGTGGTAGCCCAAGGTAGTATCAATCTTTTTAAGTTCTTCTGGAACCCAGCAGAGCTTTTAAGTTATATTCAATATATGGGGCGCCTGGGTGGCTCAGTCAGTTAAGCATCTGACTTTGGCTCAGGTCATGATTTTATGGTTCATGGGTTTGAGCCCCACATCAGGCTCTGTGCTGACAGCTCAGAGCTTGGAGCCTGTTTCAGATCCTGTGTCTCCCTCTCTCTTTGTTCCTCCCCTGCTTACACTCTGTTTTTCTCTTTCAAGATATTTAATAAATAAACATTAAGAAAAAGATGCATTCAATATAGAGCTTTAAGGGGTGCCTGGATTGCTCAGTCAGTTGAGCATCCGACGTCAGCGCAGGTCAGATCTCACGGTTCATGGGTTCAAGCCCCGCGTTGGGCTCTGTGCTGACAGCTCAGAGCCTAGAGCCTGCTCCAGATTCTGAGTCTCCCTCTCTGCCACTCCCCTGCTTGCACTCTGTCTCTCCAAAATAAGTAAACGTTAAAAAAATAGAGAGCTTTAAGTCTCTATTATATCCTAGGCTTCCAGATGTCCATACCCAGGTAGCTGGTGCCATCCTAAATCAGAGCCCCTAAAAATCTTATTGCTAAAGCCTGTTCTTTTTCCTGTTGCTGATTCCTTTAGACTTCAGTGAAATTGGGGCTCAGAAAAACTTATGCACCATAATTCATTTACATTATATGATAGAGACTATATTTTACTACCTTTGGGGAAAAAAGGGGCTGTTCCAGGAACATACCTATTTATAATTTTGTGTTTACCGAGCCTTAAGCATTTGGAACACCTGTTTATAAATTGCTTTTTAAAATCAGCTTCAGATGGTTGGACTCTTTCTCCTGTCTATATATACAGAGACACTTTTGAAGACTCCTTTGGGAAAATGGGGCCTCTTTATACTTCATTTGCCCAATTTATTGCTAAAAGTAGAAATTTTTTTACCCACTTATTTGCAAAGCAAGGCATTTCCTAAGTATGTGAGTAGAGTCCTCTTACATTCAGAAATTTATTTTTAGGTTAAACATTAGTAATCAACTTCAGCTTAGTGAGAAGTAGTGATTTAGAAGGTCTAGTTGGTTATTTTTTAAATTAAAAAACCAAGAATGTTTTGTCTTCTCAGTTTAATTCTGATAATAACATCAAAGGGAATAAGATTAAGAAGTCCTCATAAAAGTGGGGAGCCAGTAAAAGAGTGTGATGAAGTAGACATTGCTATTTGGAGTAATACATGAAACCCAACTGTCTGATGATTCTTCTACAGATTTCAGTATAAAGTTTGTATTGCATTTCATAGATAGTATCACATGATTTCCTGAATGATAATCGAATTTTTTGACATGCTTAAGGATCATTTAATGTTCTCAGTAGTGGACCTCGTGTTTGGACTCTATTCTAAGATTAAATAACCAGGTTGAACTGCTCTTGCTCTGTTCCCATGTTTATTGAATTTTCTTGTTCCATTTTACTACAGAAGTGATGGGGAACCCAGATATGCTCCTATGTTTATTTGGTCTGTCATTTTTATTCCACTTAAGTCATTGGTAGAAGTGATTTTGTTTTTTTATTAATTTTTAATGTTTTTATTTTTGAAAGAGCAAGTGAGCAGGGTAAGGGCAGAGAGAGGGGGACAGAGGATCCGAAGCAGGCTCCAAGCTCCAGGCTGTCAGCACAGAACCCGATGTGAGGCTCGAACTCAAACCATGAGAACATGACCTGAGCCGAAGTCAGACGCTTAACCGACCGAGCCACCCAGGTGCCCCTGAGATTTTATTTTTTTAATGTTTATTTATTTATTTTGAGAGAGAGAGAGGAAGAGGAAATGCACAAGCAGGGGAGGGACAGAGAGTGAGGGGGAGAATCCCAAGCAGGTTCCGTGCTCATTGTGAAATCATGACCTGAGCTGAAATCAAGAGTTGGATGCTTAATTGACTTGAGCCCTCCAGCCACCCTGGCAGAAGAGATTTTAGAAAGGGGCTAGGCTTTAGAACACTTCAGAGCTGCCCTCCCTACCTCAGTCTTAGTTATAGGCCAGCTGTTAAGTGGGCATGTACTTGATCTGTTTCAGATGGACTTTTAACAGTATGCTTCAACTAAATGATTAAAAAGTTAAGAGACACTACTCAAGTTTTGCTAAGTTTATTGTAAGAACTTTTTGTATTTTCAAGATCTGACCACTTCAAGTTCATCTGGTCCTAGAGTTTCTGGTTCACCTTGTCATCATAGTGATTCTAATTCATCTTCTGAGAAACACATGTCACGAACCTCACAAAGAGAAGGTAGGTTAACAGTTGGATTTTATAATCTTACAACAGATTCTATCAAATAGCTTTCTTTGGTTTAGTTTTAATCCATACAAATAAAAGTCAATAAAGAGGAGGCTATTCTTTGCCCCTCAGTAATTTTCAAAAGTCTAACCAGAGTCTCTAGGGTTGAATATCTTGGGCTTAAACCTTTGTTAGAATTTGAGCTTTGGTTTTATTTACTGGACTTAGTTTGGTCTAAAGTGGAGAAAAAATAGGACATGTAGATTCCAATCAAGGTTGTTATGGAAATTAAATGAGATTATGTATGTGATGGTCTTGTATAAATATGAAGTAGTGAGTTTGTCAGGTGCTTGTGAAAATTGCTTGGTTCCAGCTCACTAGGCTTTTTGCTCTGCCATTTCTTCATCTGAGCAGTGCCTGATAGCCTGAGAGGGGGTACGGGATAAAGTGAGCTACAATCTATCCCCACTCTGCTTTTGCCAGTTTTCCCCCCACCACTCTGGCAGAACTAGCTGTATAACATATTCATTCCACCCACTAACGGAAATGCTTTCTACTACCTGTGCAGACTTCACCTGCCTCTCCATACCAGTTCACATCTAAGCTCTTACAGCACTTTTTGTTTGTCTTACTCCTTGTGGACTGATGGCCAAATGTGAGGGTGGTTTGTTGTTGTTGTTTTTTGTAATTTGGGTCACCTTTTGGAGAAGAGCATGGCTTCTATCTAGATCTTTAGGGGAGGGACTGTTCATTAGACTTCTACTTTGTGTTTTCCCTGGGCAGCCTCACCAGGTAATGCCTGATAATTGCATACTTGATTATTTTGCACGACTTCTTCTGTTTGTAGAATGGTTTGAGAGCCCTTTCCAAACTAACCTGTAGCCTATCTGCTTCTCCAGATAGTCAAGACTGTGATGTTTAAGGTTAAAAATTCTTCCTGTTAAATTTAGAGATTTATGCCCAGATGTGAAATATTTTTCCTTTGATTTGAAACTTACTGTATCAATTCTACCTGTTCTACTTTGCCTATGGGAAACGAGCAAAGGCTCTTAATAATCATTGAGAAAAATCTTTATTGATTAAACCATCCATGAGAAAAAGAAACTTAAGAATAGTTAACATGCTTGTTTATTGCAGTGGTAAATTCCAAAACCAAACTACACAACAGTTTCATGATATAAAGTTGGCATCTGGAGAAGAGCGAGTGTATAGAGAGCCTAGACACAGTATAGAGAAGAAGGTGGGGCTCATACATAAGGGTGCTCTGAATGTTGGCAATCCTGTGTCTTCAGGGTGTCAGGATATGTTAGCACCACACTTTGGCCGACACAGTAGCTTTACGGAGCGGAGGCTCTCAGGCTCAATTCAGGATTAGAACTTTTTTCTTTTTTTAAAGTGATCTCTATACCCAATGTGGGGCTTGAACTCAGGACCCCGAGATCAAGAGTCAGATGCCAATCAACTGAGCCAGCCAGGCACCCCAAGAACTCTATTTTTGACATGAAGTCTGTAGAGTGTAGCACTGATAAAGTGCAGACACTCTGGTGAAATTAAGGAGGTTCTTGAGCAGTCTTCCCTACCCCTTCCCCACGTGGTCCCTCCTTTTGCCAGCTCCGGAGGAACCTCCAAAGAGCACAGCTCAAAAACCACTACTTACCTATTTAGATGGGTTTCTTTTCTGCATTTGTTAGATTTTCAAAATGGATTCTTGAATAGCGGTTTTTCTCTAAAATTATTAAAGTTCAGTCACAGGTGAAATCATTATTTTAGGAATAGTTTGGTTGTAACAATGTAATTTAGAGCTTCGCAGTTTCCATCAATGCTGAAACAATCTAAAGAGAATCTTTTAAGGAAGATAACCCATCTGTTTGAGAAACAGTTCACAAAGGGTCTGACAGGGAGCTCATAATCTTCAAAGCAATTCCTTCCACAGGTAGAAAAGTGTTGAAATAGTTCTCTTGATATTAAATTTCTAAACTGCTGCTTTATAATGTGTATGAAAGTGGTTGTCCACATACCTGAGGAAGAGGATAGAACTGTTAGTGACTACAGCAGTCACTTTGATCAGGCGTTGGGCAGAAGGACATGAGGGGCCGTAACAGAGTACCAGGCATATGTATGACTGGCGGGGTGTCCCTGCCCCTTCTATGTGAAATATCCTCCCTCACCTCCAAAATTATAGGTCTGTTTGTCATTTAGAGTACTGTCCTTGGGGACAGAAGTCCTGCTCCTTGCAAACATAATAGCCTTTTATTTATATTAAAGGCAGTCTTCATAGCTTCCTATTATTTCCTTCTCTGGATCCTTTGTTGGATTAGAGAGCACCAGTTCCTCTAAGGAAGAGAATTATCTTTTACTTTTCCAGGTTCCTTTCAGATAACATAACTTTGATTCTTAAAGTTTTCTGAGATATAGATCCTAATGAAAAGGACCTCTAGTCAGCTTTAAGGCCTTAGTCTTAGGTCACTGATTCTTGCTGCAGTAACTTAGATTCTTTAGTTCTAGTCATACCTCCACCCCATACACGGAGGGACACCACAGGTTTGTTTTTTGTTTTGTTTTTACATGTAGTAGCGCACAGAACTGATGAAGGAATGAAGACCGGGGGCAGGGGTGGCTGCCAGAAATCAAAGCTTTGATGAGCTGCCTCAGTCCTTTGATAATACACATCCCACACCCTAATTTTCTTACCAGGAGTTTCACCACGAAATAGTCTTGAAGTCTTAACCCCAGAAGTTCCCGGTGAAAGAGATCGTGGAAACTGCATCACATCCTTACAGCTGCACCCAAAAGGCTGGGCCACACTCCTTCGGTGCTCAAGCAACACTGATGATCAGGAGGTAGGAGCAGCAGCACGTCGCCTTCAGCAGGGCTGCCTGAGCAAACAGCCATGGCCATGTGTGTCCGTGGTGTCTTTGTCCTTTGAACCCCTCCCTTCTCTCCAGTATGTGTGGCAGACTGGGAAATGCTTTAAAGCAGTATCAGTTCAGCTTGTGCCAGCTTGTGAATTCTTGCCTTTATCTCGTCACAGACCCCCTTACATAGGAAACATTAGATGGAGATGCGTCAGCCAAGCTAGCTAAATGTAAGATTTTGCTAAGTCAATTGAGTATTATAATTTGCTCTTTTAAAAACCAGCGGAAACTGGGAAAGGACTAAACCGATGACTAAGGGAAAAGGCCTTTTAGGACCTATGACTCTCTGGAAAGCAGGAGCCTTTTGAGAGTCTCAATAGCTGTGGGAGTCACAACTGAAGGAAAGGAGAGAAGAGCCTTTGAAGTGTGTAGGATGAGACGTATTTTAGGGCTCAGGGGTCTAAATTCTGTAATTTTTTAAATGTCAAGATTGTTGTTACTTTTACAAAAGTAGCCTGAGAGGATAACAGGCTTTAACGTGTCACATGACTTTAGCTTATGACGATAAGAAGGAATGGGGCCTGCCTGCACATTTTATTAGTTGGGAGAACGGTAGCAACAATTTTGTGAATTGGGCAGTCTTTTGAGCTTTTTACTAAAAGAAATATCTAGCATCGTTTGGGCCTCTGTAATTTTGGTTTGTCTCTCTTCTCTCCCCCAGTGGACTTGTGTCTATGAATTCCAAGAAGGAGCTCCCGTGCGACCAGTCTCCCCTCGCTGTTCTCTACGACTGACTCATTACATTGAAGAAGCCAATGTAGGCAGGGGTTATATCAAAGAACTTTGCTTCAGCCCTGACGGGCGAATGATTTCTTCCCCACATGGCTACGGGATCCGCTTGTTGGGATTTGACAAACAGTGCAGTGAACTTATTGACTGTTTGCCCAAAGAAGCCAGTCCCCTGCGGGTGATCCGTTCTCTGTACTCTCATAACGATGTGGTACTGACGACAAAGTTCTCTCCAACACATTGTCAGATTGCCTCAGGGTGCCTTAGTGGACGGGTTTCCTTGTATCAGCCAAAGTTTTAGGCACAACCTACATCAAATAAGGAACTCTTCTGGTGTTTGACTTATAAATTACTTCAATTTAGGTGAAGTATTTTCTTTTTAGAAGATCTTAAAAGTTTGGGTCAAGATCCCAGTTCTTATGGGTCCATGAACACACCTGTGACCTGAGTACTTGGTCGTCCAGCATCGCAGGGGCCTCACCAAGGTACACTCTCTGCCCCAGCATCTTTTGCCGCATTCCTCTGTCCTGCTCATCTGTGCCGCCCGAACTTCCGTTCTGCTTTTGCATGGTAGTTCTGGTCAAGTTTCTTTCTTTGTTTTTTGATTTTGGGATGAATTTCGTGGACATCTGGCAGGAGTTTTGGCTGGGTTAGGAGAAACCTGTGGCACTAGTATTGAATAAAACCCTGATGTCTGATGTCAGCATACTGGTCATTGAAAAAGGAATTCCATCTTCACTTAGTATACTTTGGCCTTTTAAAGTTGCTGTTATGTTTCTCTATAATGAGCACAGATAATGGCATTATTCTCTTAACTGTTAGATAGTCTTACAACAAAATGTCTTTTAAGTTTCCTGTTAAAATGATACATATTTATTCACCGTGAGGAGAACTTTGTTGTGAAATGCTGGAAAAAATAACTACCACCTCTCTTTGTAATTTACTTGTATTAATTTAAAAATCGCTAGCATGTGCCCTTACGTGGTATTTTGTTCCTGTCAATAGGATTTAGAAAGGAAAAGAGAAGGAATGGGCTTTGGTCATTTTGGTTACATTGAAGAGGATTCATTAGGTTAGTACACCATCTGGTCAGAGTGATGAGAACAGCGTGGCTCGGAGTTTCTGTGTTCTCTGCCAGGCTGTTGGACTCACACAGGGTGACACGTGATGGTATCGGTGTGGGGGGACTTAAAGAGGTTGTGTTTTACTCTTTATTCCTTGAAGCAGGTGGCAGGAGCGCAGCCCCCCAGCGTCAGGGAGCAGAGAGCTGTAGTCCTCTCAAGCCGTGTCCTAACTACAGTAGTCAGTAACTTGGATGTCAAAGCAAAGAGCCCACACAAAGACCTCTTGTGTTTTGTTATGGAACACAGCAAGTAAAAGGCATCAAGCAGGGGACAGTCACCGGGCCGGTTGCTCTGATGAAGTAAGCAGCTTTCTTCTGGTCTCCACTTTGGATAGTATTCTCTTAGAAGAAATCTGCCAGAAGTGGAGTAATTGAAGCCACACACTAGCCCTTTCCGTCTCAGATCACATTCTCTTAGGCCAGTGGTTCTCAAACATCAGGGTGCATTACAGTCACTGAGGAGCTTCTGAAGAACATAGAAACCTGGCCCTTACCTTAGGAGGTTCTGATTCAGCCAGGGAGAGGATAGGAGTCTGTATTTTTAACAAGAACCTCAAGTAATCTTTAGTCAGGTGGTCCCCGGGGTCACAGTTTGAAAAGCACTACCTGAAACATAAGTAAGTACTTCTGTGCCTCTCAGGTGCTTGACTCCCGAAGGTGTTTTGATTTAAAAAAAAAAAAAAAAAAAAAAGTAAATGAAACCAATTTTAGAGGTAGAAAATGCAATCAGTCTCATTATTTGATCTCATTTGATGAATGAGAAAAGTTAAGTGACTTGCCTAAAGTCATCTTAAAAAATTAGTGGCAGAGCCAGAACTTGAATTCAAGTCTCCTAATTCCTTGCTCAGGGCAATTTCTACTGTATTCTGCTGGCTGTCAAATCAATGATTTATGAACACTTTTATTTTGTCTTTAAGTTGTATTATTTTGACTACCCTTAAACTGGCCAATAGTTTGAAAAAAGTGTGGAAGTAGATGCCGAGAATTACAGCCGTGAGAAGAAAAGTATCTTAAATCTTACAGAAATGCTAAATGAACCCAAATACATGAATAAAACTGACATTTCTTTGTAGGACCCACCAGACAGCCATGTACACACGTGGACAGAGCTTACATCTCACTTGGAACAAGGTCGACTCTAGGACAGATTTGTAAAATTAGATCATTTCACCATGGATGGTAAACAAATTGGAATTTTTTAGCCAGCAAGAAAAGTACCACAAAGTAATGAAAACAGGTTTGCCATAAACTTTTTTTAAAGAATCCACATATTTAAAGTTTTAGAGATAAAAGCACCCAATGTTAACATTAAAAATCAGCTACTAAGTACAATAATTAATATTTTTAAAAAGGTTCCATAAATTGCATCCCTTTTGGAGGGAGTTGCAGGTCAGATGCGGGTCACCCAGCTCTGAATTTCAGTCCAGGATTCATTAACCACTGTAGGGTTTCTGTGGTGTCAAATAATGTCCACACTCTACTACTAACCCCCACAAACTACCTTGCAAGGTAGGTGACATGATCACCAACTGACTTTGGAGGAAATGGAGGGTCAGGTTAAGTGATTTCCCTTAAGTCACAGAGCTGGCAGCGGGTGGGAATGCTGGGATTCAAACCTAGGTTTGTTTTAGTCCAAAGCCTGTGCCTACTACTCTACCGTTTTGCCCTTTTGTTTGTAAAGGATGGGAAACTAGCCTGTTAATATGTTTAGCATCCTCTGTAAATTCTTTATTACAGAGCTGGCTTACCTTCTGCACCATGTACGAGAACATCTACAAGACTGGAAATTTCCATTAGAATTAATACCATAAAATGCAGGGCGTACATACAGTCCATTCCTAACTGGAAAACTGCAAACATGATAAGTATCTGTGAAGTAAAGGAAAATGTATATAGCCTTGTATAAAAAGAGAGCCACAAGGTGAGAACTAAAAATTAGCCAGCAAACTCAACAAAACAATCCTTATCTTCTTTGAGCTATAGTCGTGATCAAAAAATCATGAGGGGGATATTAATCCAGGAATTACAGGGCATCAGGAACGCTAGACTCTTGGAGGAAACTGCAGCGTACAATTTCAAGATCTCATTTCACTTCAGAGTATAAAATCCAATCTGGTGTTTTTTACTTTAAATTCTAGTCGTTTTTATTCATGATAATTGGTGAGTGTATTATCATTGGTAATGTGGTATAATTGTTGGTAAACATGGTATAAATTACTTGTTTTAAAAAGCTTTCTACAGGGGTGCCTGACTGGCTCAGGGGTGGAGCATGCAACTCGTAATCTTAGGGTCAAGAGTTTGAGCCCCACCTTGGGGGAGGGGGTTGATTGTACTTTAAAAATGTCTTGAAAACGTTTCCTACACAACAGTATATTAATGGCAGTGCTGCTGAATTAGGAACTTCAAATATTTAGTAGTTTCTTTAATTAGGAAAATGAAGTGGCTAAAGCAAATGAGACCTCTATCTTAATCTTTTGAGAACAGGTGTGACCTTTTTTCTCAGAAGCCCAAAGAACATGTGTATTTTGTTATTTCTCCTTGTTAACATCTGAGATGAGGCTATACCAAAAATTTTAGGAAAACAAGCAAGGAAAAGGTTCCCTACGACTGTGTCTAGAACCAAGATCACATTATATCATGGCTAAAGTTTTGTTTTCTAGAAAGTGCAATATAGGAAAAACACTCTGAGAAACTTTTAGAAACCTAGTGTTTCCGCTATTAGAATATATGGTATTGGCATCCATAAGTATCTGTTAAAACTTGTGTCTAGCAGGGGACGTAGTCTGATAACTAATGACAATCATCCCCATGTAATGACTAGCAGCCATGAAGAGTTACGAAAATTCACTCAGTAATAGCTTATGTTGGTCATAAAAGAAAGCATATACAGTATATGAATTTTTGGATAACTAATGCATTATCTCTTAAGTGCCAAAATTTTAAACTTATAATTATTTTTGATGTAAGCCTTTCAGATGATGTTAGTATACCTTCCTGCCTTCTTAAACTGCATGCTCAGCATAATTCACATTTTCATGATGAAGTAAAAGTTATATTCATGTGTTATCACAAATATCCAATTAGCTCTGATATATGTAAAATACTTCATAAAATGTAAAGGGCTATAACAAATATGAGTTAATATCAATTATTATAAGGCGATTCCCTCAGCCCTGAGGTATATATAATCATTTGCCTCAGGTTGTTGGTGTTTGGGGGCAGTTTTTCATTTTTAAATTTTTATATCTGCTGAATAGTTTGTTGTGTCTCCTATGACAGTATCCACATGCCCGCCTCTAACAGGCTTGCTCTAACGTGCTGTGTTCATCTGTTACGAGCTGGGACACGAGATGACCAAGCTTGCTTGGTGTCTGAAGAGCTGCATAAGCCCTGGATGCACAGGCTTCGAGACAGCTAGCTCTTTTGGTTGCTTACCAGCTTTCTGACAGATTAACAATAACAGAGGTTCCCAGTGAAAGCCTAGCCTAGGTATTTTCTCCGTTGCCGCTAAATAAAATACTATAAACTAAGGATGCTGCTAAATTAAGGAATAATAGATTAAGCAACATACCAAAGTATAGCCAAGTAACAACAAAGGCTCTGTATTTGTACAGGGATCGTTCATGCTTTTAAGAAAAAAGAAGAATCCGGGGTGGGGGTAGGGGAACAATGAAAATAAAATCCACATAGACTTGAGTATTTTTGATGCCATTAAGCTTTGTCAATAACCATTAAAATACCTGTTTAAATTATCACACATTGTTACAAAGACAGTTTTAGTCTCATTGCAGAGTAAGATCATACCAGAATTTATACATCTTTAGGGTGATTCCTAAGAATTTCTCCCATTCAAATAAGAACAGAAATTATTGAAAGGAATGTCTCAGATTTACCTGTATGCTGCTTCTTTAGTTGTAAATGAATTAATAATGGAAATATGGGTTTTATCAAAAGCTCCAAGGAACACATCTCACATATGCACACCTCATATATGTATGTGTATATGAATGTCACTATAAATGAAAATGTCACCCAGAGACAATAAAATAATTTTAAAATTTAAATCTTGTTCATAGTATTTAAAGTAGAATGTTCACCTTTCCTAAGTTTCTTCCTCATTTTAATTTCATGGTTTTTACATTAATGGTTGAATATTTGAATTTTCTTTTAAATTTCACTTCATTTCTCAAATGTGCTTTCTGTTCATTTTAGATTCACATTTTTTGGGGAGTTGGAAATATTCCAGATAATATCCTAGACACCAGAAAGTTTCTCACTGGGTTCTGTTAAGTTCTTACAATAGACTGTAAGCTCCTCGAGGGCAGGGACCGTCTTACTTTTCTTTTATCCCCAGTACCCCATACAGGATCTGACAGAGTAGCTGTTCAATAATTTATTTGTTGTATGAATCAAATGAACCATAGCCATATGTGGCCTCAAATTCCCATGAAGCCAGAATGTGATGTGCAAACAGAGAAATCTATCATTTATTATTATAATGAACAGACTTTCATTCAGAGTAAGACTTTCTCACTGATTTGGGAAACTGCGAAACTCAATTTTTCAACAAACATTTGAATCCATCTATATGCCTTGTCCAGTACTAGGGTCTCAAGGGACAAAGACAGCTAAGGTGGTTCTACAGAGGCCTGCGCTAAGCCCCATGTGGGTGTAATGTGCTGCCGGAGGCATTTTTTTGAACAAGGGGCCCGTATTTTGCACTGGGCTTCCAAATTCTACAGCTGGTCCAGTTTCAATACTATCATTGTGACATGGTGGGAACAAGAAGAATTATAGTATCTTTTACATACTGTCTAGTAAAGATGTTCCCATCCATTGAAAGCTAGCCAGAAAGTGAATGATTTAGTTCAATGATTTCTAAAATCTAAAATTACAACTACCTCCCTCCCACAAACATCTGAACACATCTTCATTTCAGCATTAGGAAAGCTTTCTACAAGTGTATTGGCTTTTTACCATTTCAATTGAATTGTTTTGAGGTTTTCACTGATGACTGTAGAGTTGTGGGTGATTTTATCTACATACATACATACATACATACCTACATGCAATTTTAAGGTTTCAATAAATCGTTTATTAACATATGCACTGAGTGTTCTGGTGTGAGTCTACCTCATAATGTGCTTCTACAAAATAAATGATGCTTTGAAACATGTGACACACTTTTTGTGCAGTTAACCTGCTGAAAAAGTTAATGGCAAATTTGCATTCAGCAGTATTGAAAATTTTGTTTAAATTGCTTAGGTGCTTATTTTTAGACCGGAATGAAGCATAAGGCTGTGACAGGGGCAGTGGTATAATGATTCTTGTAGTGAATTTTCTACACTTTTTCAATCATATAACCCTTACCTGAAAAAAGTTAAATACACTTCAAATTTTGATTATAAGTGTATATATATTTATATATGTTACACGTGTGTGTGTGTATATATATATATATATAAAACACTGTACTGATCCATTATGTACATTATAAAACATGCAAAGAGAAAAAGAGTATTTTAAAAGGATAGGACTTTTAAATATCAAAGTTCTACATTACCTCCTATACTTCCTGGGATCACCTTATGCTTCCCCTGGTATATGCACCTTTCATTTCGTGAAGGCCACCATTCTAAAACATAGAATTCACATTTTACACTGAAAATACATTTACTAAGAGCTGATTCATTCACATCTGTTAACTAATGTGCTAGATGTTTACAAGTTTATTCTGTACTAGTCAAGTTTTACAGAGCTTTATAAATTCTTTACTCCATGAAAATAGTGTTACCAATAAGCAGACTACTTGATAAATTTTTGTCACACTGTATACAGTGCTTTGTTTTCATATAGATACACTTAGAACATGCCTTTTTTCAGTGTTACCTTGAATGCCCTTTTTTTATCATTTAACAGTATGATGGGTCATTTTACCACACTATTTTAACTTACTAAAAAACTGACCATCATATTTAGGACACTCACTCATTTTTAAATAACTCATTGAAGAGAAAAACAGTGAATCTCTTTCAATTCAGATTGTTTTGTGAAATTGGATAAACTGATTTGCAGCTAAGCATAGCATTAATTACCACTATTTTCAGTTATTCCTCTGACAGTCATGGTTTGGGCTATTTTAAAAGTGGGTTTTTTTTTTTTTAAGGAAACATTTGGCATGTTTTAATGTTAATGAATTATTTCTTTTAGTTTCCTATTACTGATGTAACAAATTACCTACCACAAATTAAATACCACAAATTTAAAACACAAATTTGGGGCACTTGACTGGCTCATCAGTTGGTGGAGCATGCAACTCTTGATCTCCAGGGTCATGAGTTCCAGCCCCATGTTGGGCATAGAGCTTACTTTAAAAAATCAAATAAAACACAAACTGGCGTCCACTGATCTTTCCTCCAAACCCCTCCCTTCTGGCAGAGGACATGAAAAGTGGTGCTCTGCCTCTAGCAGGCATGGAGTCACCTGGACAGCTTGTGAAAACACAGATTGCTGGGTCCACACCCAGAGTTTCTGATTTCATAGGTCTAGGGTTGGAGCTGCCATTTTGCATTTCTAACCAAATCCCAACTGATGCTGTTTATCTGGACACCATAATTTGAGAACTACAAATACAGAAAATGTAGTTAGGGTTTAATTTTTCATGGATGACAGATCCCAGGGAGCTCTATGTAGATAAAGGAAGCCAGTTTAGAGAACTTTTTTCAAATAAATTTTAACATTTATTCATTTTTGACAAGAGTGTGAGTGGGGTAGGGGTAGAGAGAGAGGGAGACACAGAATCTGAAGTGGGCTCCAGGCTCTGAGCTGTCAGCATGGAGGCCGACGTGGGGCTTGAACCCATGGACCGTGAGATCATGACCTGAGGTGAAGTTGGATGCTTAACTGACTGAGCCACCCAGGCGCCCCATTCCTTTTTTTTTTTTTTTTTTAAAGAGCACATTGTGACTTTGGAGACTGGTATATATTATGAACACCAGTTTGTCCCATCAGCTATGCCATTCTCCTGGACACTGTCAGGTTGGCTCCACCAGTGAGAGCTACAACTTCCCTAATTTAACACGATATTTAAGTTACTGGGCAGTAAGTTAAACATCATCTTACCTTCTCAGAAACAGACTCGGTGCTGTGTGGCTTATCTTCTAACTCAAAAAGAGGAGCTCTGGGACAGAAACGCACTCTCTGGTGTAGCTACAGACGGCTGCAACTGTTGCTATCAATCCAGAAAAGGAACAACTGAAACTCTAACCAGGGCATAGACCACTCAAAACATCTTTAAAGTTTTTTTAAATAGTCTCCAATTAAAGCCACGTAATTTTTTAAAATTTTACTTACTGTTTAATTTACATCCAAGTTAGTTAGCATATAGTGCAATAATGATTTCAGGAGTAGATTCCAGGGATGAATCCCCCTATGTGTAACACCCAGTGCTCATCCCAACAGGTGTCCTCCTTAATGCCCCTCACGTTTAGAAACACCCCCCAACAGTCCCTCCAGCACCCCTCAGTTTGTTCTCTGTATGTTGAGTCTCTTATGTTTTGTCCCCCTCCCTGTTTTTATATTATTTTTGCTTTCCTTCCCTTATGTTCTGTATCTGTTTTGTATCTTAAATTCCACATATGAGTGAAGTCCTATGATATCTGTCTTTCTCTAAGAAAGTCATTTAAATTACAGGTACACTAGACTGTTGCACTGACATTAATTTGCAAAAAGTCCTTCACCAGACAAAAGATTCATTTTGGGGTAAAATCAAAGATACAAATTTTATTGTTAAATG